CGCTCAAGAAGGGCGAAAACAACTGGCGAGATGCGACCATGGCCCTTCGCCTCCGTCTCACCGTAGACTTCAACAAGGATATCGTTCCAAAGGTTCGTCTGTCTTCTCGTTTCTCGCTCGTACTATATACGTGTTGTCCTATCTGACTGTTATTCGCTTTTTTCTCCAGTTCTTCTGGTTCCTCCTCTCCCTCCGCTCCAAGGCCCTCGTCACCGCCGAGGACGCCCTCGTCCTCGATCGCAACATCATCTTCAGCCAGGTCCCCAAGAAGAACAAGGACTCCAGCCTCACCCCCCTCATCACCAACCTCGCGAAACACATCCAGAAGCCGACCGAGGTCGCCCGTCCCCCCAGCGTCTCCGACCTCGCCCTCCGCTTCGCCACTGGAACCATGTGGGGACGCTCCTTCGACGATCCCTCAAAGAAAGTCTCTCTCGATCTCGCCGAGTGCCGCAGCGTCGCCTACTTCGCCATCGCCCGCGCCGACATCGTCGAGAAATACCGCCCCCGCCTCCTCAAGGCCCATCCGATCCTCCGCTACCTCCGCCGTCAGATCCGCGACTTCATTCGTCGCGAGGCCAACTCCCCCGACTGGGATTTCATCGACGGCTATCGTGACGTCGACGTTCCCGATGACTTCGACCCCGCGCCTTCCAAGACCGCCGCCGACATGGACACGCGCCTCGCGTCCACGCAGTTCATCGAGAAGAACTTCAACGCGCTCTACAAGTCCATCGTCGGCAACCCCCTCCTCGCCAACATCATCATCGCCGGCAACGAGCCCGTCGGCGCCCGCCAGCCCATGCCCACCCAGATCGCGGAGATGACGAAGGCGTTCCTCGACGTACGTATATCATTCGTCTTCTGTCCTATTCGCCTACTGACATATATTTCTCATTTCCCTAGCATGTTCTCTATAGTGCGTCCTACCTCTCAAAGCTTACGACTCCGGGTACGCGCCCCGAGTGGCCCATCCAGTGGGACCACGACACGCAGAGCACCATCCGCCTGCGCTTCCCGCCCGACCTCCATCCCTTCCCCGCCGACCTCGTCATCGCCGACGCGTCCTCGCAGGATGCCTCCCCCTCCACGTCCGCCCCCGCCGTCTCCTCGTCGACCACTCGCCAGCGCAGGGCGACGCGGGCGACAGCCGCCGCAGACTCCGCGGGTGCCACAGGCAAGAGACCGACGGCGCGTCCTGCCGGACGAATGGCCTCAACAGTCTCGGCCAAGGGCAAGGGCAAGGAGAAGGAGAAGGAGATCATTCCCGAGGAGGAGGAGGACTCCGACAGGCCGGTCACCCCCGACTTTGTCACCAACCCTCCTCCGCCCCGCCGCTCTCCGCCCCAGCGCCCTCCTTCCCCCCCTCCCGTCACTGAGCAGTCCGGCAAGCGACCCCGAGGCAATACCAGCAGCTCCGTCGGCTCCAATCCCGCCACCAAGCTCTCCCCTCGCGCTGCCAAACGCTTCCGCGAGAACACCTCGATCAACATCTCCGACGACGACGACGACGATAACGACGGGCTCGTCCGCCCTGGCTCCCTCCTGACCTTCGTCCCCGGCAGCTCCCAGACTCTGCCGCCCGACTCTTCTCTCCCCTCCACCCAACCTGCGGCGATGAGTCAGGGTCAGCTCACCCAACACCTGGGTGGGTACGGTGAGGACGAGTCTGCTCACAATGACAACGCTGAGAATGCTGACGACCGCGAGGACGGCGAGATCGTCGACGACGGCGAGGTCAGTGAGGACGGCGAGGTCGGTGAGGACGGTGAGGACGGCGACGAGGATGGCGATGGGGACGACGACGACGACGATGGGGATGGTGATGGGGAGGTCGACCCACTCGCCATGGATGTGCTCGAGAAGAGCGAGGGGGTCCAGCTCGACGGCTAGCCGCCTGCGTCGTCACTCCGGGGATTAGTATTATGACAATGTAGTTATGTAGGGCACTCTGCATTTTGTATTCTTCACGACGCATAATGACATTATGATTACAATGAATGACTATTGTAAGAATGACTGAACATAATCACAAGAACGGGGACCCGACCGTCCCGAGACGATTGCTAAGTGATATCGGACGCGTAGGGAATGGCACAGCCGTTTGGCAGAGACCAGGACGCAACCGTCCCGGGACGATTGGGAGCTCTATTCTAGTCACGGCATACTCAATCACAACAACTCACCTGAAACGAGGACCCAATCGTCTCGGGACGATTGCCCGCACTCATCTGTCCTGTTACACACTCAATCGTCTCGTGACGGTCGGGCCACGCATGGTGCCGTCTCATACCAGTCCCTCGGCACAGTCTTGACAAATGGGTACGTCCTTCTCTTCAATCCCCGCAGGTTCTTATCTACCGCTCTTATATACCCCGCATGAGTTTCCTTTCCTTGTCTCCCCCCATTTCCTTCCCATTCGCACATCCCTGCTGCCTCCATGCCTGAGCCTCTGCCCTACCCGACCATCCCTGCCATCGACGGGTACCTCAACTCCGCCAACATCGAAAGGCTCGATGGACGGATCGTCATGGCTACTGTCGGATTCTTGCGCGTATGTCGCCATTGCCTCCTCCGCAATCTCGTCCTTCTCATGCTCTTTGCCCAACAGCGCACCGGCGACATCGCCCACTGCTTCCTACCAAGCAATGGCTTCTACCCCATCAGTGTTCATCTCCGTCCCGTGAGTGTCTCGTCCCTTCCTCCCCTGCGTCTCACTCCTGCGGCGTCAAGGGCACTGTCATTCCCCCCGGCGTCCACTATCTCCAGTTCTGGGGACCAGTCGTGTCTCCTCATCGATTGGACCATCGGCGCATGCGCGAGCTCGACCATCCCTTCGAGTCCATCTGTACGTCCTCGCTATTCTCTTCCCATCCCTCTGCAGTGCTCACTCGCGTTTCTCCTATCTAGCTATGCGCCGCTTGAGCGAGGATATCGACAGAGCCACCCACCCCGCCGCCATGCACCTCATCGCCGAACTCCACCCCTCCGTCTGGTGTACGTATCCTCCTTCCCTCTACGCCGCGTCTCTACTTATATCAACTCTCCTAGCACTCATGGACCGCATCCACAATCCACCCCGCACCGATCTCGAACCCTTCCAGCCCGACACAACGTACGAGCCTCATGACCCATTTGACGATAGCGACTTGGAGATTCCCTGTAAGTCCTCTTCCTTCCTTTCCTTCCCTCTCATTCTTCATTCACATCTCTCTCTCTCTCTTCCTCTCTCATTCCAGATCTCCCGTTCATCTACCGCTTCGTCTTCTCCCCCGTCGACCCCCTCGCCTCCGATCGCCTCCAGCTTCGTCGCCTTGCACTCTTCCACCTCACCATAGGCAGTAACCTCCCTATCTGGGAGAACGAGCCCGGCCACAGCAACGACAACTCTGGCGACCACTCACGCGCGCACCAGGGCCTGGAGTCACGCGTGGAGTCAGGTGACGACTCGGGTGACGACTCGGGTGACGACTCCGACGTCGACATCCCCGAGTTCCCATCCGATGACAGGGAGGACTGGTGAGGGCGGTGTCGTGTTGCATATCGTGTATTATTGTTGTGTATTATTGTCTGGAGCTGTCTGCTTTTCTTGTCCGTGCTTTGCTCTATCTCCTCTGTAAATGTACGCATTAATAGAGAATGCATTCTCTCTCGTAACTTCTGTCCTTGCTTGCGTGAAACAATGCAGCTGTTAGGAAGCGATGTCCTAACTAGTCGTCTTGAGATAACTGGGCCACGTGCCAACAGTTATGTCGTCACTACCTCAGTAAGCGTACTGAAAGGTAGGTCTGGCCGGGCCAATGCCAACGGTCAAGTCAAGAGTCCAGGTAATCGCTGTATTCAACAGGAGGTTGAACTAAGGAATACATGGGTTTTCCTACAGTATATATAGTAACTGGTATAGGGGTTAATACCCAAAGAAGAGAACAATAAGAAAGGACGCGTAAGCCATCCTGTGAGAACGTAACTCAGAGAAATGAGAAATACAAGGGCGCCCATTGGTAGAAGGTGAGTCAAGGAAGATAACGTGTGAGAAGAAGATAGCGTCCATGGGAAGGTCTACTCGGAGAAAGGTACTGTCCAATAGCAATGCTCGGAATGGAAATGGAATGAGATAAGCATGGGAAAATCATAACATTACCCCCTTCCTATGGTCGAAGTTTACCCAAACTTCCTAGTTATGACCGGTTACTGAACCGTCCAGGTCCACAAGAGTGCCATCATCGTATTCTTG